AGGCTGCGGGGGACGGAGGTGCTGGAGGCCGGGGGTGGAGGGCAGGGACCTGGGCTGAGGAAGGCCCTGCTGGGGTGGCGTTGCTGGTGGAGCTCGGGCAGGGAGGTCAGGGGATGTGCTACAGGGCTGGAAGGGGTGAGCGAGGAAAACCAGCAAGGAAGAGGGGAGGAAAAGCTGGAAGGCCGAAGGAGTAGGGGGTTGGAGAGGCGATGGGGTGACTGGAGAGTGGTGGGAAAGAGGGCTGAGTGCCTGAGCATGGCTTTTCTTGAGCGGTGATATACCAGCCCTTTATCTCCCCTTCCGAACCCTGCTCTCGCCCATCCTCACTGCTTAATGACCCCATCTTGCCCCTGCCTTGTGCTTTGCAAGCAGTTTGATGCCAAAGACACTGCCTGGCTCTGTGTGTCCAAGAGGAGACGCCTCTGCCCTTATTAATAGTACCAAGAGCCTTGGCAAAGCACCGCTGTCTGAACATGCAGGTTGTGGGGATTAGTGAGGATTAGGGGTGTTTCTAGGAGGGGCAGCGGGGAGCTGCTTCTTGAACTTTGATTGAACATCTACATATATATGTTGTGAAAACAAGCCCTGGAGAGTGGTAGTGGTATCATTAAGGAACATTTTTTTCCCCATCAAGATTTCTCTCCTGATTTTTCATTGGTTATTTAAGTTTTTTTTTTTATTACTACCATCATTTTCATTGCTGTTGCTTCTTCATACTTTTATCTGGTTTTCCCTTAAGATTCATCTGAAATAAGCTTGCAGAGTGAGTTTTGCTGTGGTTACTTATTTTTTATCCCATTTTGACTAATTTGACAAAAGTTAACTAAGATTGTGCCGATCTCCTTTTTAAAGTGTTTGACAGAGGTAAAGTCGTTCTTGCCTGATTTCTCTTTACAGGATATAGGTGGAGGCCTCTTGAGGGCTCACCCTCACCTGCCATAGATGCAATTTGTTTGATGCTCCAATTTAGTTAGCTGCTCCATCAGCTAGATGCTGATGGAACAAATGTGGGTTCATTGTTACTGGTCTGTTTATGACATCCAGGAGCTCAAGATGAAGATGCCCTATGTAGCTTACAACAGCTGATTAGGTTAAATGAGCTGTGGTCTTTTTAGGCCTTTCTGTTTGACTTCCTGAAGTAAAAGTTTCTCTTTACCTTTTTTTTTTTTTAGTTGGTTTGTTTTGTGAAACAAAATATTCGTTCCCCATTCTTAGTACCAAAGAAGTTATTGAGCAACCTGGTCTAGTGGAAGGTGTCCCTGCCCGTGGCAGGGGGGTTGGAACTAGGTGATCTTTAAGGACCCTTCCAACCCAAACCATTCTATGATTTGCATTTTGCAGCTACATATATAAAAGTAGTTCCGTTGAGCCTGCTCTTAACTAAGTCTGGCTTTTTACAGGTTTGTGTTTTTAAAAACCAGTTCCCACGAACAGGAGTTTGGCATGATAAGGATGTATAACGTATATGTTAAAAACACTGTTAAATTGGGTAGCAGTGGCACAGCTGAAAATCATCTTCTTCAGTGACTGATGTAGGTGGGGAAACGGCCTCATTTCGTTTTGTTCTGGAGCCAGAACAGTCAGCACAGAATGTTGACCTTGGGAAGAGGAAGGGGTCAATTTTACCAGTGCTGTGAGAAGCCCCTTGGACTGAATTGCCAGAAAAATTCAAGTTAACTTTTCTTTCTTTTCCATGGGTTTGGACCCAAGTAAGGAAGTGAGAATGAAGTTGAGACTGCAAAACTGTTTGCAGCCTCATGTGAATGGGAGAGCTGTGCAGCTGTTCTCTGCCGTATGATTTGCAGTACTTCTGCCATGCTGAGCTGGGTTAGCAAGCATGGGGAAAGAAGAAAGATGGATGGACGGACTTACAGCCTGCTGCCTGTTCCTTTCCTTCTGCTTCTGGTAAATGTGTCCCTACTCAAGGGGTTGGCTTGTTTAGCAGTGCTCTCCGCCTTTGTTAGTATTTGTGGAAGATTCATTCTTGCTGTCCAGTGAAGCCTTTAGGGTCAGTAGATAGGAAGTTTTATCACTTACTGATAGGGTATGTTTTTTTTTAAATGTGAAGTCAACATACAGATGTTGACCACCTGGATTTGAAGGACCGTGGCATTGAAATGAGGTAACTGGCAATACTTTTGCAGTAGCATGGAAACTAACAAATGGGGAGCTTTTTATTCTGAAATACATATGCATTAAGAGTTGACTTGGTTAATTTCTTTCCCATGTATGTATGTTTCAGCTCTCTGAAGATGTAGTGAACCGAATGAAAGAATCTCCTCAAAGTAAAAGGGACAACCAAAGATCGCCCTGTTCATCCAATGGCACAGCTCCATCTTCACCAGCTGCAGAAGGGAAACCCAAATCTCCTACAGGTACTGTCAGTCCCTCTCAGGTCTACTGACTCTTTTGACACACATCTCAGTAGCGCTGCCACAGGATGTTACGTAGTATGCCTACATCTTTTTGAGACTACCTTGTTGTGAGAGGAGCTCTTTGATTAGCCTGTAACACTTTCATGTGTGTAGATATCAGCATAATTGAATACCTTGGATGTTACGGTCCTGTGACATCCTCTTTATGTTTCTGAAAGGTAGCCGTGTCACCTGGCAGTTGGAGAAGTTGAGAAGTTACGGTTCTAGTTCTGTTGCTGTGTGACCTTAAGTAAGACAACTTGTTTTTCTAGATCCTTTCCTTCTCCATCTTTGGAATACCACTCTTCCCAGATACTTTAATGAACTTGTATCACTTTGTAAACGTTTCTAGGATTTCAGATGAACGTGCAAGAGGCAAGGCAGAAATTTTTTATTTTATCTTTCATTCCTGGGAAGCTAACTTGTTGTCTCCTTTCCGTGCACGGGGAATATATTGTGGATGGGTGGGGGAAATACTGCTTTTTGTTCTTTGGAAATAAGCTTATAGGGGAGGATAGACTGGCTAAGCACAGCTTGCCAAGTGGATGGTGAAAACTTGGTTTCTGAACTTACCTTTCTTTACAGGCCAGAAAACTATTTGGTTTCTCTTGGTTCTCAAATATACTTTGTTGATATATGTTATCAGTGTGGATTTGTTTAAGGCATCCAGACTAACATGAAGGTAGGGAACCAGGCCTTTGCTGTAAAAGATTTGTTTGCTGTTAGCCTACATCTTTCCTGAAAGTGGATTCAGCCTTATGGATGGCCTAAACTCCATCAAATAATTTCTTCTCCATTTGTGGGATCCCTTGTAATTACCAGGAAAACCAGGATTGGAGATCAATGGGAAGACTTAATGGAACTACAGGAAGGAAATGGAAAGTAGGACTAAAACCATGCTTATGTTTCAGTATAAACCAGGGGTTTGAGGTGTTAACATCCTTACCTAGAAGTTTCTGTAGCTTGCCTTGTTCAGTGTGCCTTGTTGAAGACGATGCTGTCAGTGTCTCTTTGTTTCATGAATTCAAGCTCCATCCATCAAATTTAAATTTTCTTGGGACTTTTCTAGGTGTATTGTTCTCTTTCTCTTGATGAGCTAACACATATGAAATACTCTCCTCTTTTCAAATAACTTATAATGTGGTGAAGGACTGTGTTTGGTATTATAGTTCTCACAGGTTTCTGTTCTTCTTTCTAGGAATCCAGCCACCAGTGGCAAGTGACTCTGGTCAGAAGTCTTCTGCTGGAGAGCAGGAACTGTACAGAAGGTGAGGTGAAGTTCTGGAAAGACAGTAGTTTAGCTCCTTTTGGACTATATTTATGTGTGTATGTATGTTTTACTTCAGTCTGAGTGCAATGACTGTGTTTTAATGCCTGAGAATCCCCTTTGAAGCCTCGTTAAGGGCCATGGAACACGCTTTTTTTTTTTTTAGGGAAGCCTGTCCCTTAGCCAAAAATAGCAGTCAGGGGAGCTGTGGGCAATTGGAGTGGTGTTTGGAGAAACAGGGAGGACCAATGTAAAGAGCTGGTAACTACAGAAAACTTGTGTGGTGTGCATTGCAAGACCAATAGAGCATAACCTTGAGTATGGTTGCCTTTTCTGGGACAAGTGAAGGAGTCTGTGTCTGATACTTCCCTTAGGGATTTTGGAATCTCAAACACAGTGATGGGTTTAATTCAGTTTATACCTAAAATAATCAGATCCGTGTTATGTATCTGATTCCATTCCTCCTCCTTTTCCTCAACTGGACATAATGCCTGTCAGCCAGTATAGAGTGCCATGAATTTTTCATCCAAGGGTATTTTAATTTATTAAGATAGAAATACTTGTGAAGATGGGGTAAGGGTGAGAAAAAAATCATAGAAGAAAACTGTCCTCTTGTCTTTGTCAGAACCACAGCAGTCTCCTCCTAGTTCTCAGCATTGCAAGGCAGTGAGAACTTAATTCTGTGTAACTCAGTAGCTTTCTGTTATAAAACTGCTGGCCTGATCTGTCTGTGCGTTCTTAAAGATGCTGTAAAGATCGGTCTTTTCCTGTTAACAATGAAAAGCAATCTCTGTGTGTGGTATTTTTTTTAGTGTTACAACTGACTGGCCAAACCTGTTGAAACAAAACCCTGTTGCATCAATCACACTGTCTTTAGGAAAGTCAGAGATGCAACCAAGGAAGTCTCTGGAAAGCTGGTTCACTTTCCTGGGGAATGTGGAATTGAAATTGTTGGCAGTTTTCAGTGCTGAGCTACTGAACTGCATCCCAAATACCTGATCTGGGAAAAGAGAGGTAGAGGCAGAAATGCAGCGGAAAGGTAAGCAGGGAAGACAAGAAAGGGAGGAGCAGCTTGTATGCATGTGGCTCAACTGTGGAGCCAGAACCAGACCTGGATGGGCTGAAATGCACCCTGAGGAAGCTTGTGGATGACACCAAATTGAGGGAGTGGTCACTGCTCTGTGGAGGGCAACGTTGCCACTCAGAGGGACCTTGGCAAGCTAGAGGCACGGGAGAAGAGAAGCTGAGGGAACTGCATTGGCCTAGCCTGGAGAAGAGGGGGGATCTAACTGTTGTTTTCAACTTCCTAAAATAGTAAAATAGAGACAGTGCCAGACTGTTCTCAGAGGTGTACACTGAAAGGACAAGAGGCAAGGGACACAAATCACAGCAAGTAAATTGGGGGGCGGGGAGGGTGGCAGAAAACCCCAGTCAGCGAGCACAGTGAAGCACTGGAACAGGTTGCGCAGGAAGGATATAGAATCTCCACCGTTGGAGATCATCGGAGGTTGACTGGAGAAGGCCCTGAGCGACCTGATCTAACCTTGAAGTTAGTTCTATTCCAGCCTCCTGCTCAAAACAGATGACCTTCAAGGTCCCATCTAACCTAATTTATTCCGTGATTCACTTCATGTTAATCTCTCTTTGCTTGCATGTGGGATTTCCAGGGCTGGAATTGGACAGAATTTCCTTCATGGCAATCTGAGGTTCAGGTGTCCAGGCTATGGACCTGACAAGGCTGCTTCTCTCAGTGCTGTTGCTGCATGCATTTTATGTGATTTTCTTTCCCTTGTAGAGCAGAAGAGCAGCATTTTCAGATAGGCTAACTCCTTTTATTGTTGTACATCCCTTGATCTTTTCCAAAGCAGTGTCTATTTATCTAGCTAACTACTTTCTGTTCTCACTGTTTTCAGGTGATAATTAAGTACTTAATAGAGCTAAATATAACAAGTATAAGCTTATATGGTACTAAGTCTACTGTTGTTGCCAGAGCTGTACCTCACTGAAGCTGCAGGTCATGTTTAAAGTTTGTTGGACTTTTGAATTCCTGCTGATAATGGAGGGGCTGTGAGCAGACTTTGTGTCAAATAGATTATGGATTTGTTTTGGCTCTAGGCAGGGATAGTCCATGCTAAGCCATGACCCTGTTGCCAGAAGTCTGCTGATCACCTTCTCTCTGTTTGCCTTTGGCGCTCATACAGGTATGAGCAAGAACAGGCACTGGTCCAAGAGGAGTTGCTCCGGCTGGCCAAAAGAGAAAGGGAAGCAGCCAGCGAGGCCTTGAATACCGCCCTTCAGCGGGAGAGGAACAACACTAATGAAGAGAGGCAGAGAGTGGCCCAGCTGGTGAGTAACAAAAAACTCCAGTATGTTTCCGTACAGGACAGGCTAAAATCTCTCTGCTTGTGGGGATTCATTAAATGTCGCTTGTGTGATGAGCTTAGAAAGTTTAATTTAGGTTGAAGCACTCATCACCTCCCAATTCATCACTTAAGTTTGGCTTACAGTGTAGCTGGCAAGCTACACTTGCAGCATGTCGTGTGGTGATGCTAAGGCCAAGCTTTCAAGGAAAGGCATAAGCAATGACTGTGCTGGGGACAGCTTTACCTGTGGCAGGTCAGTGTGGTGTGTGTATATGGGGTCGTTGTCTGAGCTAGAGAGAACTCTTTTAAACTAGCAAGTGTATGAAATGAATGTTTCAATATATACAGGATCAGATTCTGCTGAACCTGATATATCCTGAAACTTTGCTCGGTTTTTCTAGAGTATAGTTGTGCAAATACCCAAATTAATAAAAAGTAATAATGAGTTCTGTTCTTGTTTAAGTCTTTTATGATGTTGGTAACAGAAGAACTGTTATAAAACTGTCAGGTATTGTAACATTTTGAAGAAGGCTTAAGATGGATTTTTAGGGACCAGGAAGCATAAACCCCTTTTGTACACACCACTGACCTCCAAACCAATCTGTTCTTGCCCAGTAGGTGTACTTATTTTTGGGGACTTCTTGCTGCAGCCTTTACTATTAGTCAGGCACCTTGGTGTTGCTGAGATAACCCGTTGGGTTATTGTCATACCAGTGCTGAGAAGGGCAGTGATGGAGGCAGAAGTACAGTGAGATGAGACTGAGTAGAGCAAAAGGTTTATATCGCTACAGTAGATTGGGGTTGTCATTGGTGCTTAATACTCACATGATACTATTTTACATTGTTTTCTTCTAAATACTAGCATTACTATGGCAATGGTGTACTGCCTGTAAACAATGCAGAGTCTTACTGGAACTGCCACTTTTTCCTGACCTGCAGGGGTATGAGGTGTCAGGGTGTGACAGTGAGGTGGGACTATGCTTGCTACAGTGAGCTCGAATTGCTTGTTCATTTAGACTGTGATGTTGAAACTGTTTATTGAGAGAACTAGACTAAGAGTAATTCTCCTTGCCTGGTACATACTGAAAGGATGGTTTAGGGAGAGGACAGACTTGAGTAATGATGGTCTTTATTGTGTTTCTTCCATCCTACCGATCTGTTGCACTTGATTTAGCTGAAGAACCTTTCTATCAGCATGTTTTTTCCATATGTTGAATGCTAATAGGCATGGCTTACCCAGGCATGTGACTTGGCTGTGAAGCATTTTGAGGTTATAATATGAAGGTATTTTAGGGGGCTGAATAAGTGAAATTTATATAAGAATGGCCATAGTGGTTCAGACAGAAGGTCCTTCTAGCTATAGCCCATCTCTGATAGTGATCAGCTAGTAGTCTGGCTCAGAAGTAGAGCCCTGCCATCCTGCAGTGAGGTGCAGAGTAATCCTGGAGAAATGTGACTAGCAGAGCCAGGCAATATTTGTGAAGAGCGACTAGCAGATGTAAGCAGCTGCTTACGGAGAGCAAGAGAACAGAGCAGGTGTATAGCAGTATTTCCCACCTGTATACTCTTGCAACTTCTGCCATTCTAGGGCTTAGAGGCTTCTTCCACAAGAGGTATTTTCACCTTGGTGGTTAACAGTCCTTGATGAAAAATTGTCTTCCATGAATATGTCCGCTTGTGTTTTTGGACCCATTTGCGCTTTTTGACTCCATGGTAACATTTGCATGTGGTTGGGTTGGTAGGTCTCTGAGATTGCTCTCCTGGCTATAGCTTGTGAATGGCAGCTGTGTCGTAGGAAATTTCCTCTTGGCAGATTGTACCATAACCATGGGAAGTTGCATGATTGCTGAGCTTTAGAATAGTGATGCCTGAGGCAGGTGACTGCCGTTCCTCTGCATAGGACATCTGGGTCAGCAGATGCGGTATTAACTCTTTCCACTAGAAAGAATATTCTCTTTATGAATGCAATTAACGGACTTCTGTAAAGAGGGTGGGGAAGAAGCTAGTGGATTTATTGTCCAATCTAAAGATGTGGTCTGGTTCAGAAGTAGAGCCCTGCCCTCCTGCAGTGAGGTGCAGAGTAATCCTGGAGAAGCGTGACTAGCAGAGCCAGGCAATATTTGTGAAGAGTGACTAGCAGAGTCAGGCAATATGTGTGAAGAGGGCACCTCTAAAATGAGTTGGGACCTGACCTCTAACATACAAAAGCTGTTCTGTTATCTGAATTAGCTTTTAATCCTGCAATGTCACATACTTGATGCTCTACAAAAATCTGATCAGGCTCTCCTTGTGTAAGCCATAAAAGATAAATAGTGACCATGGAGTGTTAGCCCAGAATGTGGTGCAAGAAAGAGAAACTGTTAAATTTCATTGCTCTTTAACTATCTCTTGATCAGTCATAAATTTAAGATCCTTAAAGATGGAATAGTCTAGCCTGTCCTTGCAAAGATGAGGTCAAAGCTATTGTCTATTGGTTTCTAGGTGTCTTCCTAAGCAGGAACTGTTTTTGCCAGCCTTTTAAATTATTGGGAGCCTTATCAGACTTGCTTTATCTCAGCTACAGTTTCCTTTTGGGCATGGTTACCTTACTGTATTGTCTCAATCCTACTCAAATCATATCTGTCCTTTGTGTTCCAGTATTGTTTTCTTCCTTTATTTGGAATAGGGCTTGAATATTTCTTTCTCACTCTTCTGCTTTTTAGCCCTAGCATATGAGGCAAATAATGGGTGTGAGCTGCTCTTTTACCTCTTCTGTGTCAGTCTTCTCTTTCAGGTAGAAGATAGTAGCGGAACTCTAGATACGTAGTGGTAGTCCAGATGCAGATGGCACTGGAAATTATCTGCTTAAATTTGTAAGGGAACAACTTTCAGGGTTTCTGTTGTTGTGATCTACTAGTGAAGCCAGAGGAAAAAAGGGGCAACTCCCATGAAAGAAATAACAAAAGAATAATTTGCTTCTAGCAGCACTTAATTTAGTAAAAATTGCAAATCATGTCATGTATAATTAGGAAGGTTGGTTTTTTTTTAATATTTGCAGTAAGATCTTGAGCTGCCCTGTGCCCTTAACATATCAATAGTTTTGGGGTTAATAGCTTTCTCTTGTACAGTTATCTCCAGTAGTGCTGCAATATCTCCTTTAACCTTACCACTTGTAGACCATAAATCTAAATACGATAGCTGTATTTTGAAATGATTTCATTTTTATTGTGCTGAACGTTGCTTGTCATTTAATCTGTTCTTTATAATTTTCATTCACTGACTTTTATTATTGGCAGTATTGCTATGAAGCACTTCAGTCTTATTATATAATGCACGTTCCTGAAGAGAGCGTGGACTACGACTAGCTTTTGATAAGGAACTTGCTGTCAGCTTCTGGGGCCAGTTACTTCATCATTTATGGGGTAGGGTGCAGATTAAAACTTATTGTTGTTTTGGGTTTGGTGTTTTTTTTTCCTTGAAGTGGTACACTGGTTACAAGAGGGATTTAGAGTTATGTACCTGGGTCCTGTTCTACATTTTTGTCTTGATCTTCCTTTTTTTTTTAATGACTTTGAACAAGGTACTTAGCTTCTAGATACCTTAGGTTTTGAGTAAAACTCCTTAAGGTTTTAGTTTAAGAAGCAAAACAGCTCTGTAAGTAGAAACACTGCAGCACTCACTTCCCTCTTTGAGTGAATATGGCTTTTGATTAACTGTGTGGGAGTGGCTCAGATAGAAATAGTCTGCTAAGCTGCTGCAGAAGAACTCTCACCAATTTGTATTTGAGATAAAATGTTTTGTTTGTTTGTACAGCGCTGCAGGATCGTGGTGCTGACTGGACTCTCTGAATAATTTAACGGTGTGGGTACTTACAATACAACAAGGATTATATGTACAGTACTTCACAGCAGGGCCTAGGGTGTTTAACTAATGCTTGTAGCATGCCTTAAGTCTCATGTGAAATATCCAAGAATTAATACAGCTATCTTTAAATCCTTTTTTATTTCTAGCATGAAGAGCTTCCGAAGTTGTCATAGTCAAGTTATTTAATTGCTTCACTGTGCTGTGAATAGTCTCACCTTTCCCCTATACCAGGAATCTTCCCTTTTTAATTTCCAAAGAATCAAAACCTCTTCTCTCAACTTCTCAGTTCTTTTGGCTTTCTTTTTTTCTCCTTCTTACCAACAAAAGAAACTTTGCAAGCAAAGCTGCTCTTTTTTCTGCTTTCTGCTTTTGTAATCTCCTAAGGCTGTGCAGCATGTGCAGCATATGCATCATGAGCCTCTTGGAGCCAGTGACTCCCCGCCTGATGGTTTTCACTGAAACCTTTGAAACAAATCAATGTGGAATGGAGCTGGAGAAAAGCAGAAGCTGGGGGGGGGGAATAAACGCGATTAAGCAAAGACATCTCATTACCACTCTAGAAAGGGAGGATTATAACTTATAAAATAGGAGGATCTCATTTAGGGGCCATGTGCGCCTGTGTTATCAGGACAGAGGGAGAGCAAATAGAATAAATGAAATTAATACTTTGAAAAGAAGCATTACCCGGATTTGAGAATTGAACTAATATGATTTGTGCAAAGCCCTAAAGTTCTTATCTCCCCATTTAATACCCCTAGGATAATGGCTTTGTCAGAGTTATTGACCAAAAGTCGTCTTCCTTCCCACTTTGAAAGAATGAATTCAGAAATGGGGTAATGGTAGGACAAACTTTGCACCATAATTATCTTTTTCAGACAAGACTGACAGGCATTTGTTGCTGCGTGCAAACAGACTGGACATAGAATTCCTAAATTGCTGGGAAAGTGTTTGTCCAGCTGTTGATGACGGACAGCTTACCATTCCCAGTGTTCCTAGTCGCACCTTGCTCACTGGCTTGCTGGATGGCAACCTTTGCTTTCTGGTGGCTCCAGCATTGCACCGTTGTGATTAGTGTGGCCCAGAATATTAGTGTGGGAAGAAATATGAGGATTTAAGGTTTGTCCCATCTCTGGTTGCTCC